GGGCTGGCCTTGGTGGGCAGGGGGCTGGCCTTGGTGGGCTGAGGGCTGGCCTTGGTGGGCAGGGGGCTGGCCTTGGCAGGCATAGGGCCCGATGGCTGACCCAGCCCCTGTGCCCCTTTCTGTTTCTGAGGGACTGATCCAGCTGCATGGTGAGGAGACCCTATAGGGGGCTGCTGTGAGGTGGGCAGTGGCAGGGGGGTCTGCTCTCCCAGGCTGCCCTCCAGAAGCCTCTTAGTTTGGCAGTTCAGACAGAGCCACTCCGTTTTCTGTAAGGAAACAAGAGGGAGGTTGATGAGAATCACAAAGACAGTGGAATTCTCAAAGAATATTTCCATAACGATTTCTGTACCCTTAGGGAGGAGAAGGTTTTCAAAGCATGACACCAAAGGCATAAGGAGAGGAAGATCGATAGATGTATTATTGCTCCATGCTTAAAGTGAATATATACAAACTGCAAACGACAAGCCAAAAAGAAGGATCCTTTTCTAAACCAATGGAGAACTTGTCCCTGGGCCGGAAAAGGAAAATTGTGGGTGAGAGGAAGCCACAGAAGTACAAGGAGACGCTGGGCATGGTAGCACACGCTTGTAATCTCAGCACTCGGGAGGATGAGGCAGGAGGATTGTTGCAAGTTCAAGACCAGCCTGGGCTACAAAGTGAGTTCAAGGCCAGCCTGAACTGCATAGCAAGACCCTGTCTCAAAAAGACAAACAAAAAAAAGAAGTACAAGGAGAAGTTGGGGTCCGACTTCAGGAAGCAGACCACTCCTCAAAGGCTGGTGTGAAGTCCAGAAGTTGGGAGCCCCTGCAGAACAGGAGCAGCAGCCAGACATGGAGACACTGCCCTTCCTCTGCTTCCTAGCCCTCAGGTCTGACACCCATGCTGTCCTTCCCAAGTAAGGGCTGTGCTGGGCAAGGGCACACGGCTGAGGTCTGGGGCGGCTGTCTGGGAGAGGCCCTGTGTGGGTTGAGGGCTGAGCAAGCCTCCCTGCTCCTAGTCCCAGCCCAATTCACATTGTCTAATGCCAGCAAAGAGCCTTGGGCAGAGGCCTCTGCTCTCAGGGCTCTGGACTGTTCCTTACAGAGTGGGACCAGCAACAGTTCTTGGCTATCAGCCCCCACGCTCAGGGTAAGCCACTGTTTCAGGCCCAGGACTGAGGGCTGAAGACACAGCCATGACCAAGACAGACGGGCCAGCACACAGCCTCCTTGGGGCCTACAGTCCCAAATAGGTCTTTACAAATATGACACAGGTGCCAGTGGTAAAGCTCTCAGAACACCAGAAGCCACAACTAAGTCCTCTAACTCCAGAGAGCTGCACAGGTCTGGGTCTGGGCGTCTGTGAGCCCTGCGAGAGCAATTCCTGAAGTAGGTCTGAGGCTGATAAAGGCCCGGGATCCTCCTCCAGGGTCAGAATGTGAGACTCTCCCCTGACCCACTGGGGAGTGAGGGTTACAGCACAGCTCAGAGGAAGGACCCTGATACCTGGGTCTGTTCTTGCCCCTTGGGTGCAGAAGCTTGGAGCTCCTTCCTGTCACTGTTCACCCTAGGTGCTTAGACACTCAGGCTTCCACCAGCAGCTCTGCCACCAGGATGGACTATCCTAAGAACCACAAGGTCACAGAGCCAGTGCACAGGGAAAGGGGTGGCTCCTGACCCTGGCCACCAAGGAGGCCAACAGCCTTGGCACACACCTCACATGCTGTCTCTGGGTCCACGTCAAGTCCTAGCCCATGTGGCAGGGCCTTTGAAGCCCCTGAGCCCCAGGGTACCTGGCCTTACCCAGACCACTATGGCGGATCCCATGTCCACCATTCTGCCCTGGTTTCCTGACTACACAGCTCCATTTCACCCCTACCCTAGGCCTCAGGAGGGGTCAGGCTGAGCGTGGAGTTGGGCCTTGGTGTATTAAGGGATCAGCCTGGCCAACAGGCTTGTTACTCAGGGTGCAGGCTGCTTCTTGAGGCTGAAGTACCTGCTCTTCTCAGAGGGCCCAGCCCATGCTCATGTCCCAGGCAGAGGGATGGAGTAATGGAGGGGGACCATTCAGAGAGCCTCCGTTCACTCAGCTACTCAGCTTGCTCCCTCAAGGGCTTGACCCTAGCTCTATCTCAACTTCTCTGTACTTCATCTGATGCTCTGGGATCCCCCCCACAAATTCCTGTGAAGCAGTAAGTACCCGCCACAGACAGAGTCTGAGGCTTACCTGGCCTGGCAGGGGCCACCCTGAGGTGCCTGCAGAGACTGCTGCACAGGATGAGACACAGCTCTGAGATGGACGTGGCATGGGAGAGCACAGGGGCTGATTTTGAAATTCTACCCCATTTGCCCTGATTTTGAAATTCTACCCCCAGCATCACCTGGGGACACAACGGAAATCCCACTTTGTCCCAGAGGACTGTTGATGGCAAAAAGACCCTAAGGCAGAGACCAATGAACAAAAAGCCCCTTCCCTAACCCCAAGATTGGCATAAGGGCATTAGGATCTGGGCCAGACAGGGCTGCCCTGACTCTGCCTTGGCACATATCCATCCTAGATAAATTGGGTCATCTGTGCTGGCTCATCTTTCTGGCTTGGCCAATCTTGAGCCTACCCCTGGCCTATAGACCCCACCCCAGAAGTAACAGTCTAAACAGATGAGGGTGAAATTTTTAGACTTTCAGGGATAACAAATAGCCTGCTGCAGCACAAGTGCCCTAGGTTTACCACCACTGGTCTAAATGAAGTGACAGCACCTTGGGAGGGTGGTCTGATAGAGCAGGCAGATCCAATGCCAAGGGCTCGGGGCCAGCCCCTGGCCTTCTTACATGAGCCCGCAAGTATCCCTCAGAAGAGTGTGTCACTTGTGGTCACATGCTCCCTGGGGCCTTCGTTGCTTCACAGGTTTATTTCATGGAGGCAGCCAAGATGCAGAGAGCCTGCCTGGTTGGCTCTTTTGTTCCTGGCTCTGCTGAAGCCAGCAGTGAGAAAGGGAGGGTGGCAGGAGCAGGCATATGAAGTAAGAGCTAAAAATAAACACTGACCTGCCTCCTAGGCCCCTCCCAGCCTCTGAGAGTGGGAGCAGGAGGGTATGAGGCATTGGGGCAGGTAGGGGCAGAGCCAGGAGAGCTGGCCCAGGCCCAGATCCTCTGGGGATGGGGACAGGTGGAAGGCAGACCAGGACAAATCTCCACGCTTAGGGGCCGGAACACAGTTGCTGGGTCTCAATGCCTTTATTTATTCTACCCTCATCCTCCTCACACCCCAACATGCTCACACCTCTGCCCCTTATTCTTCTACTCAGCTCTGCATTCCTTCATTCTTTCCCTCACTGCAGTGTTTATTTCCTTCTTCATGCACTCAGTCACCTGCACATTCTCCCAAGTTCTCTTTCACTGAGCTTTCGCCAGCCTCAGCCCTGGGGGAACTGCTGCCTCCAGCCCCTTTGCAAGTGGACAGAGAATGCACATTGAGGAGACTCTGGCAGCCACTTCTGCCTTGCCTCCCTCCTACCTATCCTTTCTGGGTGCGGGAAGGTAGGAAATGTAGGCCTGCACGCATAAATGGAGCTCAGTAGCTCAGGGTATCACTGGGGTTTGTTGTTGTTTGGTACTTCGAATTGCCTTTGCATTGAGCTATGTCTCTGGCCTTTTAAATTTTTTTATTTTAGGGGCTGGGGATTTAGCTCAGTGGCAAAGCGCCTGCCTGGCAAGCGCAAGGTCGTGAGTTCGGTTCCCGGTACCGGAGAAAAACCAAA